TTTTGGTCTTCATGTATTGTCCCCTTGATCATAATGTAGTGTTCGTCTATGTCTCTTTTTACTTTTTTAAATTTGAAATCTGTTTCATCTGATTTAAGTATAGCTGTTCCTGCCTTCTGTTTTGGTCCATTTGCTTGTAGGATTGTTTTCCAAACTTTTAGTTTCAGTTTATGTTTATCTTTTTGTGGTTAAATGTGTTTCCTGGAGACAGTAGAAGGATTGATTTTGTTTTTCAATCCTGCCTGCTACTCTGTGTCTTTTTATTGATGAGTGTAATCCTTTTACATTTAGATTTAATATTGCTATATTGGAATCTGGATTTGCAATTTTGTTTGTCTTTTTTGTGACTTTATCCCTTCCTTTATTCTGTTCTTCTTGATCATTCCACTGTTGGTTTTGGCTTTAGGATTTTTGTAGGATTTTTTGGAGTGGGGATTTAGTTGTAATGAATTTCTGGAGTTTCTGTTTGTTTGAGAAGGTCCATATTTTTTCTTTATACAGGAAGGAGAGCTTTGCAGGGTAAAGTATTCTTGGCTGGCATTTGCTGTCTTGAAGTTTGTTGAATATGTTGCTCCATTCTCTTCTTGCCTGTAGTGTATCTTCGGAGAAGTCTGAGGTTAACCTGATTGATTTTCCTTTATAAGTTATCTGTTTCTTCTCCCTTGCCAGTTTCATTATTTTTACCTTGTCTTGTATGCATGCAAGCTTTAATATTATGTGTCTTGCTGTAGTTTTCTTTTCATTGTAGTAATTGGGTGTTTTCTCTCTTCTTGTATGTCTATATTCGTCTTGTTTTTCATACTTGGGAAATTTTCTTCAATTATCTCCTTAAATAATTTCTCAAATCCTTGGTCTCTCTCCTCACGTTCTGGAATGTCTATAACTCTTATATTTCCTCTCTTCATGGAGTCTGATAATTGTCTAAGACTATTCTCATTCTTCTTCCTTTGCACTTCTCTCTCTTTTTCTGATTTGGTTCTCTCTATTTCTATATCTTCAAGAGTACTGATCCATTCTTCCATTTCCTCAGTTCTGTTTTCAATGCTTTTCCAAGAGCTCTTTGTCTCCTTCAGCAATCTTTTAGTCACCTCCTTTTCTATCATTTCCTTTCTTAAGGCCTCATTTTTGTTCTTCAGTTCATTGATTATTTGTCTCATCTCATTATACTTTTTTTTAAATATATATTTATTTATAAAAGAACCAGGGTACAGACCAGGTGCGTGGGAGGGTGAGAGAATTCACCAGAGACAGATTGGGAAACAGAACAGGCAGACTGATGAAATACACTGCTGAGGGGGGCAGCGGGCGAGACAGGAGAGGTCTGCTTCGCCATTTGGGATTCTCGCAGGCCAGCCAGGATGGAACCCGCACTGCAGAGGCTGCAGACAGCTTCATAGCACAGTGCCCAAATGCCTGCGCCACCAAGTAGGCCCTCATTTCATTATACTTTTTTTAAGATTTTATTTATTTATTTATACAAGCACTGGGCATAGTCAGAAGTGCGGGAGGGTGAGAGAATTCACCAGAGCAGAGTAGGGAGCAGAACAGGCAGACGATGAAATACACTGCTCAGGGGAGCAGCGGGAGTGGTAAGAGCGGTCTGTTGCTCCATGTGGGACCCTCACCAGCGACCAGGGATTGAACCGGTGCTGCAAAGGCTGCGGGCAGCTTCGCAGCCCAGTGCTCAACCACTGCGCCACCAGGGGAGGCCCTCATTATACTTTTTAATCATGATGATTATTAATTCTCTTATCTGACAGGAGAGAAGTTCTTCCATGTCATTGTTGAGCTCTGGTGACTGATTTTCTTTTTTTGATGCGTCCTTCTCCTGTGGGCTTGCTTGGTTATTTTTTTTTTTCCTTCTCCCTGCTGTTTGCTTTCTCATTTGTTCTATGTGTTAGGACGTTGTGCCACTGGTGTTGGTGGGCATCTCTTTGGATTGCTCCTTCAGGGATGTGGAAAGCTGTTTACCAGACTGAGATCAGCACTGGTAGGGCAAAATTCCACCAAGGTGATGCTGTGGCTGTGTTGCTGGGCACTGTTTCTTACTCCCTCCATGTTTACTAAATTCCAATAGGTAATCAATTAGTTGGTGATTTTGTTCTGGTCACTAGGTGGTGCTGGGGACTTGTTCTTGCTGACCTGTGCTTTTCCCCTGTAGTTCTCTGAGAAATGAAGGCAGGGAGGGGAGCATCTCAACATAGGGGATATTACTCACACTGTGTTCTGTGTCTGTCCCATGTTCACCTGATGCTGTATCTGCGGCTGAGTGGATCCTGTGCCCTGAATTCTGCACTCTAGTTCTCCATCTCAGGGTCTCAGATCCAAAACAGTGGCAGTCACCTTGTGCAGTGCCCACTGTAATGGTGCATCCCAGACCCAGATCCTGTGCCTAGCTCTCAGTTCCAGAATGGAGTCTTGCTCCACATCTTGTTTCCCTTCTTACCCCATTCTGAGTGGTCCACCCTCTCTGAGGGTGGTTTTGGAAATCCTGGCTTCCAACTATTAGGAAGTTGGTGATTTTTGTTCTGATCTCTAGGTGGCACCAGATATCTTTCCTAATATCCTTCCAGAGCTGTGCTTTTTCCCAGTGGGTCTCTGGGGAACTGAGTGGGGGTGGCGTGGAATGGCTCAGTGGCATGGGGTGCTGTGTCTGCCCTGTGCCACACATCATGGGGATCCCAAACCCCGAATTTCGTGCCCCGGGTCTCAGTTCTGAAGCCCTTAGATCTAGGACACGGGCAGTAGCCCAGTTCAGAGTCCATAGAAATGGTGCCTTTTGCACTGTGCTCCCTTGCCCAAGCGCCTGGTTTTTGATTACTCGGTGAGGATCATTCACCTCAGTGATGGTTACCATGTATCTTCCCACAAACCTAGGTCGCAGGCACAGGGATCTAGGCAGCTGTGAGCTGCATATGCTTTTCAAGTGGGCGCTTGTGTGCTTTCCACACAAGTTTGCTGGCTGGCCTTGGGGTATTTGTAGGTCTCTCTGTGGAGTCCTTATCTTCCTCTAATGGCACCCAGAGCTGTTCACTCACCTTTGTGGCGATTCCTGCAGGGTTCTCCACAGTTCTGTTTGTGGGGTGTGGTGCCTGCAAATGTTCCTTTCCACTCACAGTCCTGCTTGATATTTAGTTTGTTCTCATTGTTGTTTTTTTTTTTCTTTCTCTTACAGTGTACTGGCTTTGAGAGTAGGGGACAGTAGCAGGATTCTGAGCTTTATTCTCTTGTTGTCCTCTTTTATGGCAACTTTCCACTTTGGGCAGTTTGCCAGAGTCAACTGTTTATCTTCTGTGTCCTTGTTTTTGCCAGACCTGCTGCTTTTCCTCCCTATTAATTTTTTTTTAATGGGAGGACTTACTTTCTGAGTCCCCCCACCCCCCGCCGCCATGTTGATCGCCTCTCCTTAATTAATTAATTCTTAATTGGGATATTAATTCTTTTTTTAAAGATTTATTTATTTCTGCATACAAGAGCAGGGGTACAGGCCAGAAATGTGGGGGTGGGTTAGAGGATCTAACAGAGACAGAGCAGGGAACAGAACAGGTAGACTGACTGAAATATACTGCTGAGGGGAGTGAGACAGGAGAGGTCTGCTATGCCATGTGGGTTTCTCCCTGGCCAGCCGGGGATCAAACTCGTTCTGCAGAGGCTGTGGATTGCTTCATAGTGTGGTGCTTAACCCCTTGCACCACCACGGAGGCCCTGGGATATTAATTCTTTTCCTTTTTTTTATGAATTTATTTTGCTTTTTTCTTAAGTTTTTTTTTTTTTTTTTTAAGATTTATTTACTTATTTATACAAGCACTGGGTACAGTCAGAAGCGTGGGAGGGTGAGAGAATTCACCAGAGCCAGAGTGGGGAGCAGAACAGGCAGAAGGACCAAAGTACATTGCTGAGGGGAGCAGCGGGCAGCAGGAGAGGTCTGGAGCCATGTGGGACCCTCGCCGGCGGCTGGGGATCGAACCGGCGCTGCAGAGGCTGCTTGCAGCTTCGCAGCCCAGTGCTCAACTTGCTGCGCCACCAGAGGAGGCCCTGGGATATTAATTATTAATTGAGGTAATATGTGAATTCCCCCATTAGGTATTGCAGCTGTCCAGTTTCCCAACACCCTTTATTGAAGAGGTTATCCTTGTCCCAGTGTATGTTCTTAGCTCCTTTGTCATAGATTACTTATTTATATAGGTGTAGGTTTATTTCTGGGCTCTCAATTGTATTCCATTGGGCCGTTTGTTTTGTTGTTGTTGGACCATTACCATGTTGTTTTAATTATTTTCACTTTATAATTTGAAATTTGGATGTGTGAACCTCCATTCTCTGTCTCTCTCTTTTGTCAGGATTGCTTTTGCTATTGGGGGTCTTTTTTGGTTCCGTAAATATTTCAATAGTGTCTGTTTCATTTGTTAGAAAAATGTCATTGATATTTTTAATGTGATCAAATGTGTATTACACATTCTATTATATTTTTTGTATATTACTTTGGGTAACATTGCCATTTGACAGTGTTGATCCTTCCAATCTATGAGTCGGGGATTTTTTATATCTTGTGTCTTCTGTGTCTTTAAATAATATCTTATAGTTGTCTTTGTATAGGTCTTTTAACTCCTTTGTTAGGGTTACTCCTAGGTATTTAACTTTTTTGGTATTATTGAAATTGGGATTACATTAGTAATATCTTCCTTTTCTATCTCATTGTTTGTATTTTAAAAAGACAACTAATATTTTTGGTGTGGATTTTATACCCTGCCACTTTACTAAACTGATTTAGTTTTTCCTTTGTGTCTTCTGGGTTCTCTGTATATTTTAATGTCATCTGTAAATAATGATAGCTTTAGTTTTTCTTTCTTAATTTGGATTCGTTTTATATCTTCCTGTTATCTAATTGTTCTAGCTACAACTTCTAATACTGTATTGAATAGCAGTGATGAGAGCAGACATCTGTGTCTTCTATCAGATCTTAGCGGAAAGGCTTTCAGTTTTTCACATTGCGAATGTTATTAGTGCTTGCTTTGGCAGTACATATACTGAAATTGAACCAATATAAAGATTAGCATGATTCCTGTGCAAAGATGGCACGCAAATTCATGAAGCATCCCATATTAAAAAAAAAGAGAGAGAGAATGACATTGGCTGTGGGTTTATTGCAGACAGTTTTTATCATGTTATGTTATATGTTCCATTTATCTTCAGTTTTTCATCAAAAATGTATGTTGAATCTTATCAAATCCTTTCTCAGCACCTATAATATGCTATAATATGATCATAAGTTTTTTATTGTTTCCTTTTGTTGAAGTAATAAATTATATTGGTTGATTTTTTTTCAGAGTTTGAACCACAGTTCCCAGGTACGAATTCCACTTGGTTGCTGTATATCATACTTCTAAGGCATTGTTGGAGTCACTTTGTTAGGATTTTGTTAAGGATATTTGCATCTGTGGTCATTAGGAAAATTGGTCTGTTATTTTCATTTATTGTGTTGCCTTTGTTTGGTCTTAGTATTAGAGTAATGTTGGCCTATTAAAAAGTATTTGAAAGTGTTCCTTCTTTTTCAGTTTTTTTTTTTTTTTTTTTTGGAAGAATTTGAGCAGGGTAAGTAGTACTTCACCTTTAAAGGTCTGGTAGAATTCATTTATAAAGACATCTGGATCTGGATCTTTGTTTTATTTGAGCATTTTGATTACTGTTTCAGTTTTGTTGCTTGTGATTGGTTTGTTCAGAATTTTAATTTCTTCCTATTCAGTCTCATATGATTGTGTAATTCTTTTTTTAAAGATTTATTTATACAAGCACTGGGTACAGTCAGAAGTGTGGGAGGGTGAGGGAATTCACCAGAGCCAGAGGAGAAAGCAGAGCAGGCAGACTGATGAAGTACAGTGCTGAGGGAAGCAGCAGGCGTGGCAGGAGAGGTCTGCGTGCCTTGTGGGACCCTCGCAGGCGGCCAGGGATCGAAACAGCACTGCATAGGCTACAGGCAGCTTCGCAACCCAGCGCTCAACCACTACACCACAGGGGAGACCCATGATTGTATAATTCTAATAAATTTTTCCATCTCTTCCAAGTTATAGAATTTGTTAGTATGAAGATTTTTATAGTAACTCTAATTACTCTGAATTTCTGCAGCATCTGTTGTTATTTATCCTATTCATTTCTCTCTGTCTGCACAAGGATGAATGTTCCCCTTCCCAGGGTTGCAAAGCCTCCCTCCGAGAACTACAATCTCAAGGCATATCTCTTACCTGTCTCTTGCTTAATGAAACATGAAACTCTTCAGTGTCCCTTTTGGTGCAGTCCATGCTGATTTCCAGTTTTGCCAAAGTCACAGGACCTCTGGGTGCAGTGTTGGTGTGGGTTTTCTTTCAGATTATTCTCCTGAAACAAAGTAAGGAGCTTCCTTTAACACCATCTTTGACCAAACCACCCCCACACTATTATAGTATGAATGAAATATATTTAAAATTGGGCTTCACTATGAGGCTTTATTAGGTTTACAGCTTGTTATTGTAAGAGAGATAAAATAAGCTTGTTCATAGTTACTCTGATTAAAAACTGCTGATGAAAAACTTGCAATAGAGCAGCAAGAAACATTGCTATCTTCTGGTGATCCCGCTGATCCACACCCAAACCAGCAGTGGTCTTGCAACTTTCTGTGATACTTTACAAGCTTCAACACAAATAGTGAGACTGCAGATTCCCATCAGCGACTAAGAGAGAGTGACAGTCTTCCACAGGATAATGCCTGCCCCCACCAAGCTAGTAGAGGTCTCACTAGTTCTGCAAGATATTGCCAGTGCCTGTGCAGACTAGGGAGATTCTGGATCCATATTAGGGAGGGTACCAGAGTAGCCAAAGACCTCTAGAGATATTGCCAGCTCCAACCCTGACCAGAAGAGCACTCGTGACATCCCACAGGACCTAGTCAGCACTTGCCCAGATCCACAAAAGCCATGTGAAAAGAGCCCTGACAGCACCCAGACTGCTGTGACTACCGACCCACATCAGCGAATAAGCCAGCGTGGCCAAAGGCCTTACCACATCCATGAGACCCTGCCAAACTTTTGCCCAGATAGGTGAGAACTCTGATCAGGGTTCTCCCAAAGGAAACCATAAAAAGTGAGTTCCAAAGCAGATAATGGGCAGGAAAATTCCCACAAATGACAACCCAAGTCCCCAAGCAAATTGTGTAACAGAGAGAGAACAAATTCCCAGGGCCCTAAGTCATTGACATGGAAAATGTTCTCCCTTTCAGATACAGAGTTTAGAATTGCAATGATGAAGAAATTCAAAGAAATGGAAGAAAACTCAGGAAAACAGATGAATGTCATTAGAAATGAAATCAGTGAACTGAAGACAGAAAAAGAAGCTCTAAATAAGATAAAAATGGAGTTTTAGGATTTCAATAGAGAAATACAAGAGATGAAAAACTCAGGAGAAAGTCACAGAAGTAGAATAGATCACTTGGAACAAGTCAGTGTAATTTAAGAACCTGGGTAGAGGGAAGAAATGAAATTTTAAAAGTCACAAAATACTCCTCAAACTATCCCACTCCATGAAACTTAAAAAAAAAAAAAAGCATACCTAGATAAAATGAGATCATCAACAAGACCTGTGATAGTGAAATTTATAAAAATTCATGATAAAGAATACCGATGCTGTCAAGAGAGAGGAAACAGATAACATATAAAGGTATCCCAATAACCCAATCAGACTTTAAAGAAACACTGCAAGTGAGAAAATAATAGAATGTCATGTACCAAATACTTAAAAGAAAAAACTGCTAAACAAGAGTATTTTATCTTATAATACTCTCCCTCAGATGTGATGGGAGACTAAAGGCTTTTTCAGATATACAGGAAATCAAAGTTTGCAAACACTAAACATCTCTCCAAAAATATTGAAAGGTGCTTACACATTAAACTGAAAACATGAACATGCACAAAGAACTAAATAAGGAAACAGATTAACCCACAAAAAATGAGCATAAAAAGGCAGCAGCAATGGACTGTCACATACCAGTAATCACTTTAGGCATAGATGGACTGGACTCACCAATTAAAACACACTACTTCGAAAGCACCGACGGCCTCATCTGGGTGGTGGACAGTGCTGACCGCCAGCGCATGCAGGACTGTCAGCGGGAGCTCCAGAGCCTGTTGGTGGAGGAGCGCCTGGCTGGAGCGACCCTGCTCATCTTTGCCAACAAGCAAGACCTGCCCGGAGCGCTGTCTTCTAACGCCATCCGCGAGGCCCTGGAGCTGGACTCCATCCGCAGCCACCACTGGTGCATCCAAGGCTGCAGCGCCTTCACCGGGGAGAACCTGCTGCTCGGCATCGACTGGCTCCTGGATGACATTTCCAGCCGCATCTTCACGACTGACTGAAGTGCTCTAGACGCCCCACCTCGCAGTCCAGAGCCCCAGGTCTTCACCAAGCACCATCCACGGGGGGGGGGTGGGCGTCCTCCACCGGTTCCACTAACACTCCCTGCCCCACTCTGTAACCTGCTGCTGCTACTGCCGCCCTCTCCTGCTGCTCCGTGGCCGGCCAGCTCCCGTGGTGGGGGGGCTGCTGCCCCGGCTCCTGACCTGGACTCGCGCAGCTGTCGTACCACCGGGGGGAGGGCAGGGGCTGGGCAGGGGCTGCCTCTGCTGCTACCAAGGCTGAGCGCCTTGTCCTTGCTCAGCTGTGAGAATAAACCTTCCCTGGCCCTGAAAAAAAAAAATAAATAAATAAAACACACAGAGTATCTGGTTGGCTCAGGAAACAGAATCCACCCTCGAGGACACATATCTAAACTCCAATGACAAACATAAGTTTAAAGTAAAAGTTTGGGAAAGAATCCTACAAGCAAATGGGACTCTAAAGCCACACTTATAGCAGATAAAATAGACTTCCAGTTAAAAAAGTTAATGATACAGGAGGGACACTATATAATGATAAACAGTGCATCAAAAAAACATAACATTCACCAACATATATGCCACATGGAGGCGCACCAAAATACATTGTCAACTGCTGTCAACTCCAAAAACACACATTGGAAATAAATTCTACTGAAATTCATATGGAATTACAAATGACATTGAATAAAAAAAGCAATCTTTACAAAGAAAAAGAGAATGGCTGCATCACACTCCCAGACCTCAATCTATATTATAAGGCCAGAATAATTAAATAGCCTGGTACTGGAACAATAACAGATACACAGGCCAATGGAATACAATTGAAAGTCCAGAAATAAACCCACATATATCTGGACAGTTAATCTATGACAAAGGAACCAAAAAATAAACTAGAATTAGGATACTCTCTTCAAAACAGGGTGTTGGGAAAACTGGACAGCATGCAAAATAAAGAAACTAGACCACAGTCACACACCATATACCAAAATCAAGCCAAAATGGATAAAGAATTAGATATAAAATGTGAAACCATAAAATACATAGAAAAAAACATAGGCAAACATTTCACAACATAATCTGTAGTGATGCCTTTAAGGATTCATCCCCAACAGCAAAGATAACAAAAGAAAACATAAAAAACAGGCACTATATCAAACAAAAAACTTCTGTACAGTAAAAGACACCATAACTAAAATGAAGTCACCCTACTGAATGGGAGAAAAATTTTGCACATCATACATCTGACAAAGGACTGATATCAAAGATATACAAAGAACTCAAATCTCTACAAAAACAAAACACATGACCCAATGAAAAAATGGGCAAAAGAACTCAACAGACACCTTTCCAAATAAGACATTAGGATGGCCAACAGGAACATGAAAAAATGTTCACAATCACTTATTAGAGAAATGCAAATCAAGATCACAATGAGATACCATCTCACATCTGTGAGACTAGCACATACTGAAAAGATCAGAAACAACAAATGCTGGTGAGGAAATGAAGAAAAGGGAACCCTCCTAAATTACTGATGGAAACGCAAACTGGTCCAGCCTCTGTGGAAAGCAGTGCGGAGGTATCTCAAAACATTAAACATGATTCTGCCATTCAGCCCAATTATTCCACTCCTAAGCACTCCTAACAAAAAAAAATTTCAAAAACACTGATTTGAAAGGAAACTGGCACTACTATGTTTATTGCAACAATATTTACTGCATTTTTTCCTTTTATATATTTTTACAACATTTTTCATTTTGCAAAAGAAATGCATTTTCATCTTGGTTATAGTCCCCATAAAATTACAAACCTCCTTATTTTGACCCTAATCCCCCCCATAGTGTGTCTCTGGTTTATAGTTGCTTGTTGATTTTGATTTTTACTTTATTATAATTAGTCTTTTTCCTAGTCCCTTATTTAGGTTTTCTAAATTCCTGCTATGAGTGAGACCATCTGGTATTTTTCTTTTTCTTTCTGGCTTATTTCACTGAGCATGATCCCTTCCAGCTCCATCCATGTTGCTGCAGATGGCATGAGTTTATCTTTTTTGATTGCTGACTAATATTCAATTGTGTATATGTACCACATATTCTTGATCCAGTCATCTATTTGGGGACATTTGTATTGTTTCCATAGATCAGCTATTGGAAATAGTGCTACTGTAAACATAGGGGTGCAGGTGCCCATTTGAATTAATTTTTTTTGTCCTTTGGGTAAATACCTAGGAGTGGAATTGCTGGATCAGATGGAAGGTACATCTTTAGCAGGTTGAGGAATCTCCACACAGGTTTCCACAGTGTTTGGACAAGTTTGCACTCCCACTAGCATTGCAGGAGAGTTCTTTTTTCTCCATATCCTCGTCAACATTTGTTGTTGCTAGTTTTTTTTAATACATGCCATTCTCACTGGTGTGAGATGGTGTCTCATTGTAGTTTTGATTTGTATTTATCCGATTACAAGTTATGTTGAACATTTTTTCATATGCCTGTTGGCCATTTGCATTTCCTATTTGGAAAAGTTTCTTTTTAGCTCTTCTGCCCATTTTTGGACTGGATAATTTTCTTTGTTTTTGTTGAGTCTCGTCATCTCTGTAGATTTTTGTGATCAGTCCTTTATCATTAGTGTTGTGTGCAAAAGTTTTCTCCCAATTGGTGGGCTGTCTCTTTGATTTTGGTTACTGTCTCTTTTGCTGTACAGAAGCTCTTTAATTTGATGTAGTCCCAGCTGTTTATCTTTGCCTTCCCTATCACTGCTTTGGGTGATATGTCTTTAAATATGTTAATGAGGTGTATGCCATGTAATGTTTCACCTACATGTCCTTCCATATATTTTATGGTTTCAGGTCTTATGTCTACTTCTTTAATCCATTTTGAGTTGATTTTTGTGCATGGTGTGAGGTGGTAGTCAAGCTTCCTTCTTTTGCTTGTAGCGACCCAGCTTTCCCAGCAATATTTATTGAACAAACTTTCTTTGCTCCACAGCATATTCTTTGCTCCTTTGTCAAAGATTAGTTGACCGTAAATCTGTGGGTTTATTTCTGGATTTTCTATTTGGATCCATTGGTCCATGTGTCTGTTCTTGTTCCAATACCATGCAGTTTTGATTATTATGGCTTTGTAGTATAGCTTGAAGTCTGGGATTGTGATACATCCATTCACTTTTTTTTTTTTTTCAGGACAGCTTTTTTTCAGAATAGCTTGGCTATTCAGGGTTTTTGGTGGCCCAATATGAATTTCATCAATATTTGTTCTATTTCTTTGAAGAATGTCATTTAAATTATAATTGGAATATCCTTGAATCTGTAAATTGCTTTTGGTAGGATGGCCATTTTGATAATGTTAATTCTTCCAATCCATGAGCAGAAGATGTCTTTCCATTTCTTTGTGTCCCATACATTTAGGAAATTGGAAATCTCTATTGGAGTACTCCTTGTCATTCAACTCAAAGTATTTTTTAATTTCTTCTTTGATCTCCTCATTAGTCCAGCAGTCTTCCAATAGTATGGGTTTCAATCTCCATGAGGTAGGAGGGTTCCTGGCCTTCTTTTTATGGTTTATTTCTGGTTTGACACCTTCATGGTCAGAGAAGGTGTTTGGTATGATTTCAATCTTGGTGTATCTGGTGATGTTTGTCTTATGTCCCAGTATGTGATCAATCCTGGAGAATTATCCATGTGCACTTGAGAAAAATGTGTACTCAGATTTTTGGGGTTTAGTGCTCTATAGGTGTCAGTTAAGCCCATGAGGTCTAGATCCTTATTTAGAGCTTTAATGTCCTTTTTTTTTTGTCTTGTTGATCTATCCATTGTTGATAATGGTGTGTTGAAGTCTCCTACTACATATGTATTTTCTCTGATGTCTGTTTTCAGAGATGATAATAATTGTCTGATATATTTTGGTGCTCCTTCATTGGGTGAGTATATGTTAATGAGTGTTATTTATTCTTAAAGTATCGTCCCTTGCTCATGACGTAGTGACTGTCTGGGTCTCTTTTTACCTTTTTGAGTTTGAAATCTGTTTTTTTCTGATATATGTATAGCAGTTCCTGCCTCTTTTTTTTGGTCCATTTGCTTGTAGGATTGTGTTCCATCATTTTACTTTCAGTCTATTTTTATCTTTTGTAGTTAAATGTGTTTCCTGGAGACAGCAAAGATTAGGTTTTGTTTCTTAATCCAGCCTGCCACTCTGTGTCTTTTTATTGAAGAGAATCCAGCCTGCCACTCTCTGTCTTTTTAGTGAAGAGTTTAGTCCGTTTACATTTATAGTTAGTATTGATATGTTAGCATCTGTATTTGCCATTTTGTTTGTCTTTTCTCTGGTTTTATTTTTTTAAAAAACTTTTTTTGCTCTTGTTTCATTCTTCTTCATTCCTCTGTTGGTTCTAGCTTTAGGACTCCTTGTAGTATTTTTTGGAGTGGGGGTAAAGTCATGATGACCTTCTGGAGTTTCTGTTTGTCTGGGAAGGTCCTTATTCTTTCTTCATAAAGGAAGGAAAGCTTTGCAGGATAGAGTATTCTTGGTTGGCATTTGTTGTCTTGGAGTTTGTTGACTATGTCCCTCCACTCTCTCCTTGCCCGTAGTGTTTCTTCGGAGAAGTCTGATGTCAACCTGATTGGTTTTCCTTTGTATGTTATCTGTTTCTTCCCTCTTGTCAGCTTCATTATTTTTTCTTTGTCTTGGATTCTTGGGAGCTTTACTATTAAGTGTCTTGCTGTATTTTTCCTTTCGTCTTGGAAGCTTGGTGTTCTTGCTTCTTGTATGTCTATTTTCAGCTCCTCCTTCATGTTTGAGTTCTCTTCAATTATTTCCTTGAATATTTTCTCTGTTCCTATGTCTCTCTCCTCTCCTTCTGGGGTTCCTATAACTCTTATATTTCCTTTCCTTATGGAATCAGATAGTTCCTGAAGTCTTTCTTCATTCTTTTTCCTTCATACTTCTCTTTCCTTTTCTGTTTTGGTTCTTTTTATTTCCCTGTCTTCAAGAGTACTTGTTCTTCCATTTCATCTGTTCTGCTTTCACTGCTTTTCCCAGAGTTCTTTAGCTCCTCCATTAATCTTTGATCTCCTGCATTTCTTTCTCTTCCCTCTTTAGGGACTCAATTTCATTCTTCTGGTCAGTGATTATTTTTCTGATATTGTTGATTATTTTTCCCAGATCATTTTTGACTTCTTTCAGTTTTTTAATCATGACGACTTTTAAATTCTCTATTGGGAAGACTCATAAGTTCCTTTAAGTCACTGTTGTTGCAGTCTGGTGTTTGTATTTTTGTGGTGTGTCTTTTTCCTAGGGACGTGGTTGGTTGCTTATAATTTTTCTTCTCCCTGCTGCTTTTTTTCTAATTTGACCTATGTGTTAGGACACTGTGTCACTGGTATTGGCCAGCATCTCTTTGGTGTGCTCTTTCTGGGTTGTCGGAAACTGGTGGTCCAATTGAGTCCAATACTGTTATGCCAGAAGTCCAGTAGGGCAGTGTACTATGGATATGTTAATGGTCACTATCTCAGAAAATCTTCTCCTTCTGTATTTGTTTAATTCCAGAGGTGGGTTTTGAGGTCCACAGACTGCCCTGGCAGTGGCTGCATTGCCCACTGGGCTCCAAATCACTGGATCTCCTTCTGGGCTCCGACTCTTTGCCAGGTGGTACCTGGCTTGTAGGTGCCTTCAGCTCACCTCTAGTTGTGGAGACAGCCCTTTCCCAGTTCCATACAGTCTAGATGTGTTCCAGACACAGAGATCCCTGCTCTAAAATGGTGAGTTAACAGGGCAAGTCCCTGTGCCCGTGGTCTGCCCCGGCAGTGGCTGGATCCCCCTCTGGCTCAGACTGGTGTCCAGACAGGGCCTGGCTTGTGGGGGCTTTCAGCTCTCCTCTGGCTGTGGGGACAGCCTTTTCCCACTTCCACACAGTTTAGGAGGGTTCTAGACACAGAGAAATCTGTTCTTCAGTGCTCCAGTACAGATGAGTGAATCAAGAATATATGCTATGTATATAAAATGGGATACTACTCAGCAATCAAAAAAGACAAGTTCATACCATTTGCAGCAACATGGATGGAGCTTAAAAGGATAATGATAAGTGAAATAAATAAGATAGAGTCAGATAAATACAAAAAGGTGTGGCTAATATATTTAATATAAAATAAATAATTGATGAAGGCAAACTGAAAAACTAACCCTTTATAGATGATAAAGAACTGAAACACCAAGGTAGGATGGGGTGGAGGACTGGAAAGAACAGAGGAAGGAAGCATAATGGTCTATGGTGGTGTAATACAGTTGAGTTGGTAGTGGGTGCACCCTGGTGGTAATACCTGATAGGCATACCCCAATATTACCTCAGTTAAAAAGCAATAAATTGGGCCTCCCCGGTGGCACAGTGGTTGAGTGCTGGGTTGCGAAGCTGCGCAGCCTCTGCAGTGCTGGTTCTATCCCCGGCCACCGGGTGAGGGTCCCACATGGTGCACAGACCACTCCTGCCACCTGCTGCTCCCCTCAGCAGTGTACTTCATCAGTCTGCCTGCTCCGCTACCCGCTCTGACTCTGGTGAATTGTCTCACCCTCCCATGCTTCTGACTGTACCCAGTGCTTGTATAAATGAATAAATGAATCTTTAAAAAAATCAATAAATTAACAAAATGAGAACAAAAAAAAAAAAAAACCTGATACTCTGACCACTGCTATTCCAGCAATTAGTGGATTTATATTATGCTTTTTTTATTTTATGCTGTAAACCCTCAGTTTTTGAGAGAAATAATAACATGGGATCCTCCTTTCTACACTGTATGTTTATACACCTACTATTAAGGTTTGTGATCCAACTTACCAGCAAACATAAATAGCTTCCCCCTCCTGACCACTTAGCACATCTAGGACAGCTCTTTACATTATCTTCCTCCATCACTAACTACAGTCCAGTTCCACAGATTTAGTATTCTTTGATTTAAAAATATTAAACAAGAATTTTCTGTATATTTAAAAGTCAGTTTCAGTGTTTTTTTTTTTTTCAATTAACTGTGCAAATACTATATTTTGCTTTTCTTAAGGATGGCTAAAATTAAACAGATTGCAAAGCTACTTTTTTATATTTTAAGAAATTTAAATTGATATCTTTTACTAATATCTTTACTAACAGTTTCAAATATATGAACATATTTATATTCACATATATAAATATTTTTCATTTTTATTTAGGATTTGCTTTCCCATATGCTACATATGGATCCACATCAGCGATACACTACAGAACAAGTATTAAAACACTCATGGATAACCCACAGAGACCAGTTGCCAAATGATCAGCACAATAGAAATGATGTAGAGCATGTCATTAAGGTAAAACAAACAATTTTATGTGCCTTCTAAATACTTGATATCTAATAACACCTTTCTGGTGTTAAAATAAAAAATATTTTGTTGTATTTGACTTACTCTCAAGACACACTGCAGCTAGGACTAAATTCAAGTTTCATATGAAAACAAATGATTGGTATTGATTTTAAAGTTAATAATCATTGGTGAAATTCCCTTTATATTAAACCTAGATTTTAAATTTTAGTATTTTATGTATTCTTCTATCAATGGGCACTTAAGTTGTTTCCTTATCTTAGCTGTTGTGAGTACTGTACCAATGAACACAGGAGCACAGATAACTCTTTAAGGAATAAGGAGTTGTGGTGTCTATAACTACAATGCTATATTATACAGCTCTAAAAGGGAAGGAAACCCAGCCATTTGCAGCAACATGGATGAATCCAGAAGATATTATGCCAAGTGAAATAAGCCAGAGTAGAAAAGAAAAAGAATTACATGCTATGACTTGTATGTGGGATCTAAAAAAGTTAAATACATAGAAGCAGAGCATAATGGTGGCTACCAGGGGCAGAAAAGAGGAAGAAATAGGGAGATAGTAGCCAAAATGTTGCAGGTATTGTAAGTTAAGTAAGCATAGTGTGATTATATATGATGGCTATGATTAACAATACTGTACTGAATACTGTAAATCTCTTAAGAGCCCATTTCAGGTGCTGTAGTAATCACAAAAAGATAACTAGGTGAGAAGATATGTTAATTAGCTTGAATATGGTAATCATTTTACTATGTATGTGTATATCAAAATATGCTGTAGATCTTAAATATATACAATTCTTATTATAAAATAAAATTTTAAAAATATTTAAAGCAAATGAGTAATAAAAGATTGATGAAATAATATATTTTACTGTTTTAAAAATGTGTAAGAATCACAGTTATTGAAATAAAAATATACAACAATCTTGGTATTAATTGAACAAGGGAGCATTGATGTCAAGATCAAGTGTATTCAATTATTTTCCTGGAGGGAAATTTATATTCTAGTTAAATATGATAAAATATGGAAGTTTTTTTTGTTTTCTGTTTTTACTTAAAGATATTATTATTCAACTTGTGATGTTTTTCGTTGTTTTAGGGAGCAGTGGTTGCCACATATTCTGTCCTTACTCATAAGCCATTTCAACCAGTTCTGGAGCCTGTTGCTGCTTCAAGCTTAGCTCAGCGACGGAGCATGAAAAAGCAAACATCAACTGGCCTGTAAGATTTAGAGTTCCTCAGCCTAACTGGATGAAGAGATAATTACACATGTGACTTTCACTTGATCTTTTATCAAAGACATTGTTTTCTGTTACATTACTTGAATATTCTAAGTCTCCTTTTTTTCAGGAGGAATGAGATTAAAAAAAAAAATACAGAGGTCCACAATATTCATACTGTGTTACTTTGCAAGTATCTCAGTTTTTATTTAAGTATGTAATACTTGTCCACAAGGTACTAACAACTTCTCCGTACACTGGCTTCTAAAGTTCTTTTCAGAGTTACTTGACAGTTGTTCTGGTTTCACAGGGTAATGGTTTGGGGAATCATTACCAACAATCAAGAAGCAAATATAATGATATAATGCCAAGAAATATCAGTATTTTTTAACATCAGAGCCTAAAGTAAAGGCTTTTTTAACAACAAAAAAAAGAAAACAAACATTATAGAACCTTCTTATTTTGTATAACAAAAGAATTCCATTCATTTGACTCTGTAGTTACTAAAATGTAGATATAGTTCAGTGCTAGAACAAAAGATATTTGTGCTAGTATGTGAACTCCTGCTATAGTTGGTGCCAATGTTTTTTCACAAGAATGAAATCACAGATAATTTATGAAGAGAAACCTATCAATTAATTATCTGTTAGGGGCTTCATCTGTAAAGAAAGCTTTCCATAAAACTTATAAAAAGCTTACATCTAATGGCAAGTAAAGAATTTTCTATCCAAAGTACATGGTGTTGGCACTACCTTGGTGTTATTTAAGTTGACTTTCAAGTCAACCAGTTAGATTTAATCATCATTTGTCCCCTATATATAATGAACCACACTATTGGTTTTGATACTTTCATGTGCTTTAAATTAAAATGTAGCATATTAATCTACTTTGAATGCTATAGTGATATAGTTGATATTTTACTGCAATGAACTTGTGCACTTAGCACACATGATGTACTATTATGCATTTTAGGAAACATTAGACAATGCTACATAACTATACCTCAAAAAGATAAAATCACATTTTAAATAGATAAATTGATATTTTAAATAGGAGTATTATTAATGAGCTACATAAAAATTTGAGCACATTTAAACTCATTTATGAAAATAATCTGGCCAAATTGGTCTTACTATTAAATTTATGATTCAGAACCACTGCACAGTATGTATTATTTTCTCTAATTGATGGAATTTTAAATAATCTTTTTGTGTTATTCAATAAAATACCATTACTAGTAGCTACTACTACTACTATGACTACTACTACTGACGAAAAGAACTCATGAATGTAAACTGGAGGACATTACAGTTTTGTTTAGTGAATGTAAGTGAATTTCTTGTGTGTAGATGTATGTTTACTGTGTATTTGATTTTGCTTAGTTCAGAGAGAGAAAGTTGATTACTGAGCGCTAAAGTATACAGTTTAGGCTAGAAGACTTGTAATTTCAGTACTTAATAAAAGAAAGTATACATATTTTCTTTAAAATGTAAGTGATATATTTTCCATGCACAAAGATCTGTGTCTTGGGTGTGATGTATAAAAGTATGTATACTTCTTCTGTGGTTTCTTTATGAAATAACTGAAAGACATTAAAGAATACTTAATGCCACATGGAAAACAGGACTTAGAATGAGACTGGTATTATCCTGTGGATTTTCATGTCCCAATTTGGCTCTTTCCTCATTTTGCTTTATTACTAGAAGTACTTGCATGTAACAATTTATGTCATATGTTTTAACTTATTTTCCTCTGGTCATTATCATGTTTGTGCTGTTTTGCCTTATCAGAATTGATATAACAAACACAGAAGTATGATTTTGGTGTTAACTTTTCAGTCAGAGATAACTATTTCCATGTATGTTTTTCTAGTAATAGTAATAGAATTCAGGTAAGTGAAATTGAAAAATGAAAAATGATCAAAAAATAACTTTCAGGCTTCCCATAATAGTTTAAAAAATATTTTTCAGTGTGTTTGCTCATAAAGGTCATTTCATACAGTCCTTTCATAAAAGGAAAATGATCAAAATTAAGTAATGGGCAGCATGATTCTTCATCACTTAATGAGGATAGGCAATGTATAAAAGACACAGATGTAATAGAGAATTTACCCAGTAATTGTGCAAGATTTTCTGCTGGAAAATTTAAGCAGGCTAACTTAACAATAGTAGGACATAACCTTTTTATAAATGAAAGCTTCAGATTGTATCCTCATTTTGTAGAAGGAATCCAGATAGAAGGCCTAATCATGTCCATTTAGACTAAAACTCTAGGTCAACAAATACATATGTGAATGGGACATTTTTTTTGATGGGTCTTCCATAAATGTTTAACTAGTGAAAACAAATCCTTTCCATAAAACTTTAAGATATTGTGGTTTCTAATGAATTCATGAGCAGTTATCTTGCACATTTTGGAGTTTTGATTTTCTGGGAGGGAAAAGATATTATACTTATTTTCTCAAAGGGAAAATACCAAGTTTGTCCAGATAGACTAATAGTATATGTCCTAAAGCACATATTATCATGAATATACTCAGGAAACCATTTTCAATAAAATTTATAGGTAATGCTGGTGATTCTGTGAAAACAAAACTGGTTTCAACACTCTCATAAAAATTGAACTTTAGCCTATTTTGTTAGACCCAGGAATGCCTAAACTCTGATTTTTTATAATTAATTGCCATTGGTAAATAAATATAGCAAATAAAACATTTTGATAGCACCTCTTGTTATCCCTAAGGGAGTTCATATACATAATAGGCAACAAACTTCACAAGATGCTTGGTGTTACTAAGTCTCCACTGAAACAGCATGTTAAAATGTCCACAGAAACATGCATACTAATTTAATTGTATTTACCTGACAGTAATAGGACCATCATATATGAAGAAGGAAAAGAACCACTTATTTTGGCCTTAAGGTCAACTCAAACTTAAGCTTTAAACTAGGCAAAGAATGTCTTCAGTATGTTCTACATTCTCTTGCTCCTCATTTTACAGCCCCAGTGTGCTATTTCATTTCAGTACCTCGCTCAATGGGTCCATGATTAAAAGCTTACCCCACAAAGATTCTGTGTACCAAAAGGACCTAATTCCCAACCTCCTCCCTACATTAGACCTTCCATTCTCACAGAGCAGCTATTTCAGATAAAAAGTTGAGAGGGGAGATATCTCATTAAATTAATTCACATTTTCTGTCAAGGGCTAATAGATAATTGACATTATTGTTCAATGAATAAGTCCATTAATCAAATGAGTTTCTAGTTGCTTGAGTTTCAGGTAATTTAGCCAGATGAAAATAATTTTTAATTTAGTTATTGCCAGGGAAGATATTTTAGGGCAAGGAACTTAATTAGTATGCTCCAGAATCAGGTTATCAAATAAATACAATAAATTGCTTCTTTTTTACACAGCTTTGTCTTTTCTACTTCTCAGTCTACATTTTCGCTTAAAAACATCAAGTGTTTTAAATACAATGAACTTCAATGACAGAATGGTATCGAGGGCAACAGGGATTTGTGGTCATTTCTGTATATGTTGTTAAGCCCATATTTATCTACATTCTTGTTTCTCATAGTACATGATCTTATAACATGAGGAGTCCCACCCACAAACATACACTTATCTGCTATTCCTGTTGTACTGATAGAAAAACAAAAGCACAGAAAGACTGAATGCAAACTATCAGCAGAGTTTAAGTCTCCAGGTCCTTTGTCTATGTTTCAGGATTCAAAGGCCCTAATTACTCAATGTTATTTCTCAATAAGAATGCAAGCCATATTAACTGTAGATTGGTCAACTGCAATTAAACTCGTTTAGAACAATTCTTACATTTCATAGCTTATTCAGGCATTTGGGGTATGTATCACAAAATGAATTACTGCTAAAATTCATGTAAAAATTCCGTAGTGTGCTGTCACCCTTCTTAGGCAATACTGTAGTGGCGTTGATAGTGATTATTCACAAATACATTGTACTTGTGGATGCACTATTCCTTGGTTTAGTCTTACAGTATATTGAAGTCCAGCATATAATTTGAATAAAATGATAATGCTTGATCACCTAAAATTCATTTTCCAACACTTAAGGTATAATAAATCCTGAATTACAGGCATAAGTTTATTTGAAATATAAAGAAAAACCAAAGGAAAAATACTTTTTGGAATACAAAAATTCAAGCTTGCTTACTTAAATTATATTCCACAAATTGTTAGCTTATTGACCAGCAAGGTAGCTAAATTCTTAGAAGTAAATATATGTGATTTCCAAATTTGAATTTGTTCAGCATTCACATTTCTAAACCTGGGACACAAGATGACTTCAGACAATTGTTTCATTCTAATTGTCTAATTACATGAACTAATTTACTCACAAAAAAGTATTAAACATCAATTTTATGGGTAACAGTCCTAGAGAATGTACTAAGTGCATTAGGTTCTTAATAAATTGTTATAATGTGACCAATTAGATTTATTTGATTTTTTCTTTCCTATCAACTAATAGCACTCAGATCAAATTTGAATTTTCTTTCCAAGTTCACACTCTCTGAAAGGTATACCACTTACAGCAAAAATACTGTGTTGGTTAGAATGGTAAAATTATTTTTAACATCACAAATGCATACTAGCAAGAGACAGCCATTTTAAAAGTTATACATGAAACCTCAACTAAGTGTTCAAATGCCAGCAGGGTTTGGAAATGAGACGTTATCTTCCAGAAAAATTCTGTAGTACAAAAAAGAAAAGGAAAATTTAGATTTTCTGTTTGATTAACAAAAATAGGAAACAGTGTCAGTTGTGAATTACATAGATTTATGTAAAGAGAGCACAGTTTGCTATAATCACAAAACAAAATATCTTGCCAATACTTTCTATCACTTTGGGATTCCTAGACTTATTTTCTGATATACAGAATATGATATTGCATTTCTCAAGATATAAATGGTATTAAATAGAAGTTGTATGTAAATTTAATTCAAATGTACTTAAAAGCTACAGTTGAAAGAAAAGCTCAATGTTCAAATAATTGTATTTTTCTGACTACATTATGGAGTTTAGACATCATTTATTTTATATTTTTTTAAAACACTGTTCCTTTTGACAAGGTTTTCATTGTACTACATTTTTCATGTAAGACCAATTCCAGTAGTGCATTTTTTATTGCTCCCCCCTTATTGCTGCTAAAGAAATGGCCATTCTTTTGAATTTACTACATGCCAAAGATGACATAGAAATTATATTTATTTTTCTTGTTAAAACTCTATTACCATCATTTATCAAGATATCATGTTAAATAACTGGCATTCAATGGGTACTAAATAAAAAGGCTGCAACTTTCCTAATATTTTATATTGACCTTGCTTGATTATTTATAGATAAGAAACTTTGTGTCTGCTTTCATTAAACATGTACAAGCTAATTGCAGATTTCTTTGAAAGTTGCTATACATTGTTCAGGAGCCAGTTGTTAAAAAAAAAGTGTCTCAAGATATTACTTGTTTATGAGTACATCTTGATATTTCCTGAACTGTAATATTTTTCCCACTTTAGGATTACTCTTCTAATGTTCTTTTTTTAAAAGATGTATTTATTTATGCATACAAGAACTGGGGTACAGACCAGAGATGCGGGGGGTGAGAGGATTCACCAGAGACAGAGTGGGGAACAGAACAGGCAGACTGACTGAAATACACTGCTGAGAGGGGAGCAGCGGGCGAGACAGGAGAGGTCTGCTGCGCCATGTGGGTCAGCTCCCTGGCAGGCCGGAGATCAAACTCGTGCTGTAGTGGCTGGCTATAGTTTGATAGAGCTGTCTTTAACCCCTGCTCCACCAGGGAGGCCCTCTTCTAATGTTCTTATAAGAAAAAGAAATTCAAGAAAATGAAGATGAAAACTTAACATTTTTAGAACTTATGAAGACAATGCATTTGTCTGCAAGTTAGTTAAGATCACAACGTTTTCTGCAGTAAGCAAAAATTAAAATATTAGTCTCTGTGTATTGGGAAAAATAGTTTAAGGTTGAAATCAAGTAAAAAAATAAAAAAATATACCAACAATAAATCATACATTTGTAGACCATGTTAGTTTATAGCAGCAATGCCTACTCACAGAAACTTGATTTCACATGAGGTTTAGAAATGTAGTAACAGTCAAATCTCAGTGTACCTCTTTATTTTCCTTAATTTCTTAAAGGTAAACAGAATAGACCCTAGGGTAACTTTGGAAACTGCAAAAATCGCTTTCCTATCGGCTACCTCTTTTTAATATATCTCCTTCATAAAGAAGCAAAACAAAGGAACAGGCAAAGTTAAACCAAAGCAAACCATAGAAATATAATTGATTTTGCTTCTTTCATGCCTCCTATTCACCCAATCTGTTACTAAAATATTTGATCACCATTTGTGCATTATAATACATCAAGCAACTTATTCCCAATAAAGTATTACTTCACTGTACATTTGTCTTTTAAGTGTTAGCCACCCAGTTAAAAAAAAGCCTTTTTTTTGGTCACTGGGGGCCTTGAAATAGTCTAGGCTTACCATGACTGGATATTGAAATAGATGAATTTTTTATTTAATAGATGTGTATTATGTTTCTGTGCCAGACACCATTACAGATTTTGTTCTCCTTCTAAGAGATTAAAGGTTGTTTATAATAACAAATACACATGAAGTAAGGCTGTTAAAATTAAGACAAAAACAAAACAATAAAATTTTGAAGAAAATCATGCTGATAACCAGAACTAACATGTATAATTTAATTGAATGTAAATTTAGCTTCCAGCTTCCTGACATGAAAGGCAAGAAGAAAAAATCAATAGGCTACACAATAACTATGTGACAAGAAGCATGCCAGTTTTACAAGAGATAGGAAAGTTCTAAAATAATTTAACATAACATAACCTTATACAAGGGGTATTGAATTTAATAAATGTCTTTAGCCATGCTTTGTATCAAATCCATTGCAAGTGCTAATATTTAATAACAGAAATGAGATTTATCATCTGGATTCTAGTCTTACACAACTCCAAGGGAACATTTTTCTCCATGTTCCAGATCTGTTTTGAATGCTTGCTCATTATCAGGCAAGATGTCAGTAACAGACCCAAACTTCACTTCCTCTCTCATGTTTATTTGTGTGTAGAGTCAACTCCCTGTAAACAGTAGAATAGAAATGGGAAGAAGGTGATCATTGTCATCAAAATGGATATATCCACAAGAAAGGCAAATTGATTTACTAGTGCAAATCGTGTCTGCTGTTCTACTTTTGGCTATCCAGTAATGACTATATCTACATTAAATGCATGCACCACTCTTCTCCCAACAAAATAACTCAAATTTCATCCATTTGATTAATGTACGTTCAGGACCAGAAACTCTCCATGATGTGCAATTCCCTCAATCAAGCAGTGATGTTTTGCTGTTTCTCTTCGGTGTGGTTATGTTTTTTATTCTTTTTAAGTTCACTTGGATTTTAAGATTTATTTATTTTTTTAAGATTTATTTATTTATGCATACAAGAACTGGGGCACAGGCCAGAAGTGCGGGGGTGAGAGGATTCACCAGAGACAGAGTGGGGAACAGAAGAGGCAGATTGACTGAAATACACAGCTGAGGGGAGCAGCGGGTGAGTTAGGAGAGGTCTGCTGCACCATATGGGTAGCTCCCTGGCCAGGGGTCGAACTAATGCTGCAGTGGCTGCGGATAGCTTCATAGGCCATGTCCCAACTCCTTGCACCACCAGGGAAGCCCTGGATTATGTATTTCAATTAAGTTTTGATTTTAGCTATTTCTTACCATTCCTTTTCATTTAATTTGACTTACAAAAGTGAGATATAAATAATATAGCACTATATTATTTTAAGGTATAGACATAGAGATTTTATAAATGTATATATTACAAAGTGATAACCAGAATAAGTTTAAATTCCATAACCACATGTAGTTACAATTTTTTTCCTTCTTTTTTTTTTCAGAAGAAGAAATTTTATTTCAGTAGTAGCACTGAATTCATTTTGTGTATTAAATAATAATTTTAGTTCATATCCCATTTTTAATATTTCATTTTATATAATTCTTACATCATTTTTCATTTTTGCACAATGTATGCATTTTCATTTTGGCTATATTCCCCATAAAATTGCACCCCCCCTTATTTTGACCCTTGTCCTTCCTCTCCCCGCCACCCCCCTGCCCAGTAGTGTGTCTCTGGTTTATAGTTGCTTGTTGATTTTGATTTTCACTGTGTATTGATTAGTCTTTTTCCTGGTCCCTTATTTAGGTTTTCTAAATTCCTGCTATGAGTGAGACCATCCGGTATTTTTCTTTTTCTTTCTAACTTATTTTGCTGAGCATGATCCCTTCTAGCTCCATCCATGTTGCTGCAAACTTCATGTGTTTATCTTGTTTGATTGTTGAGTAATATTCTATTGTGAACATGTACCACATCTTCTTGATCCAGTCATCTATTTTTGGGCATTTGGGTTGTTTCCATAGCTTAGCTATTATAAGTAGCTATTATAAGCACTACTTAGGGATGCAAGTGCCCTTTGGAATTGTTTCTGTGTCATTAGGAGTGGAATTGCTGGATGTTTAGTAGGTCAAGAAATCTCCACACAGCTCCCCATAGTGGTTGGACCAGTTTGCACTCCCACCAACAATACAGGAGAGTTCCTTTCTCTCCACAACCTCGCCAACATTTGTTGTTGGTAGTTTTTTAAATATGTGCCATTCTCACTGGTGTGAGATGGTATCTCATGATAGTTTTGATTTGCATTTCCCTGATGACAAGTGATGTTGTACATTTTTTCATATGCCTATTGGCCATTTGCATTTCCTCTTCAGAGAAGTTTCTTTTTAGCTCTTCTGCCCATTTTTTGACTGGATTATTTTCTTTGTTGTTGTTGAGTCTCGTCAGCTCTTTGCAGATTTTTGTGATCAGTCCTTTATCATTAGTGTTGGGTGCAAAAATGTTCTCCCAGTTGGTGGGGTTTCTCTTTGTTTTTGTCATTGTCTCTTTTGCTGTGCAGAAGCTCTTTAATTTGATGTAGTTCCAGCTGTTGATCTTTGCCTTCACTATCACTGCTTTGGGTGATGTGTCTGTAAAGATATCTTTGAGGTGCATATCATGTAAACCAAATCAAAATGGATTAAAGAACGAGACATGCCCTGAAACCATAAAATACACAAATGTTTTTCCTTCTGATGAGAAATTTTTAAGATCTACTGTTTAAGCAATTTTAACATATACAATATTGTTAACTATAGTCACTATGCTGTATAGTATATCTCCCTGCTCCTTTATTTTATAAATGGAATTTTGTCCTTTTGACTACCATCACCTAATGTATTAATTTTTTTTAATGTGTTGGCCCTCAACATATTTCCAAAAGCCAAAACTATATGGAAACATATATACAGAGCACTGTCTAACCCATTTCCCCACACCACTTCAAGGTAAAAAAAGATCATTGTTTCCTGGTTCATCATTTCTATAATTTATGGAAGGATAAAGATTTGTATATATCTTTATATATAATATATAAAGATGTGTATATGATATATAATATATACTTCCTTGTTTTCCTTGTTTCTCACACAAAAGGTAGCATATACTATGAGTTAACTTGCACTTTGCTGTTTCACTTAATATAGATGGAAATACATATCAGTTCATAGATATTTTCCATTTTTCTTAAGCCTTAGCATGGCACCTGCATTGTACTTTGGTGTGATGTATGTTATAGATTATTTAACCAAAGTTTTTTTTCTTTATTTTTTGCCATGACCCTCCATGTGCCCTCTTGTCTCTTTCCTTAACCTGAAGCCTCCAGGGTATTTGTCAATGTCTAGTAGTTTTTGAAGGTGTTTTATGTTGTCAGGTTATCTGTTATATGAATGTCCAATAATTTTTTTACCGTTCTGACTTGTTTTACATCATATTATTTTCCCAAATTCCCCTCATTTTGTTTAATTTTCTTTTTAATTCTCTTCCCATGGGCATTGAGTCATCAAAAATATCTTTACTGTGGATCTCACATAATGTATTTGCCAGTGGTTCTTTTCATGTATTTTATTGTTTTAGGTCTTATATCTAAATCTTTAACCAATTCGGATTTTATTTTTGTGCATTGTGTTAGTAATACAACTTCATTCTTTTATGTGTGGTTTTCCAATTTTCCCAGGAACGTTTATTAAAGAATCTCATTTATCCATTTTATGGTCTTGGAGTTTTATCATATATTAGGTGCTGGTATATGGGTGGATGTATTTCTGGATTTTTGATTCTGTTTCATTGTTTCATGTATCTATTTTTGTGCAAATGCCA